GGGGTGGGGTGGGGGGGGGGAGCGGAAAAGAAAGCAAGAGGGAGAGAGTTACCATGGCGGTGGTGGATTTGTCAAAGCTGGTGAGGGAGAAGAGATTATGGGCAACCTCTCCTCTCTCCTCTCTCTTTGATTTTGATGAGTAAGAAGAATATGTGATTTTGTGACCGGATCAATCAGTAGCTCTACAACATATGTAGTACTCTATGGCCTGCAGAAATACAGGTATGAAGATGGAGCATGGCAGTAGGAGAGTCTCCACGGCACAAAAAAAATAAGAAAGCGCGGAACGGCAAGGCCTAAAAATTTAATAACACTAACGGGAAGATGATGCATCACCCAAGTAAATACCAAAGGCCATCACCCATGTCAGTGCACACTTGAAATGTTCCAGAAAATACTAAGAAAGTTGCGAAAGGCTTCTAGAAGGTTTTGGAGTATTAGACATGATAAATATGTTTGAGAAAAGAGCTCTAGAAGAAAACAAGAACAATGATGACATAATTTGAAGAAGAACCCTAGGATTACAGAAGATTCTAGACTTGGATGTTCTACATTTTGGATGTAGAATATTCATGGAATAGAAATATCTAGACATGATTAATTTAGAGAATTCCATAGTAAATTTGTCATCATTGAAGAGATTCTAGAGTTGGATGTTTCATAACTTCGTCTATGATCTTTATGGGTTGGAAGTATATAGAAACCATTACTTTAGATAATCTAGATTAAATATGTTATTTACTGGATGTTTGTCACTTTTTATCAATAAGGTTGAAACAATTCCCACCATTCTCTAACATATTGAAACTATAACTATTGAATAGTTTGCATATTGTGGATTTAATAGGTTTTCAAATCAGAGTACAATTTTGTTAATTCTCAACTACATGAGAATTTCCTAGTGTGCAATAAACATCCAGAACCATTGACTCGATCTTGTGATCCATGAAAAAATTACACTTTATTGAGTTCTACGAATAAATTTTACTAAGTTCCTTTTGGTAAAAGAACAGAAAAATGTTACAACATGGTGAACATTTATTAGGATCAAATTTGGCTTACAAAAAGGAGTTTCTGGGTCGACAAATAGTACATTTTATTTGGGCCTAATAAACAAAATTTCATAACATGCCGATCATTTTTTAAATATTTGGTTCAATTGTTCTTATGTAAAATTGACAGATAAATAATATCGTACCAATGATCAATGTCAGAGAAAGACAAAGATGCATACAAATAGTATATTAATTGTGATATACTCAATGGTAGCTAAATATATTTAATGCGGCGGTAGTAACACAAGCTCAACAGAGAGATTTTTTCTTTATTTTGCTTTAAACTAGTATGTCAAGGATAATGTTAACATCTTCATTAAAAGTCTGTTGGAGTCATCGAATATCCCATGATCCTAATACTGGGTCAATTAACTCTGAAACTTTTGTGACGATGTTGTTGCCTTGCTGCAATGTTACACTCCTGGATGTTCCCCTGTGTAACCAACGTCTGACCATATATTAATCATGCTTTCATCTCCTATTCTTCATATAATTCTATTTTTTAGCATTTGGACTCCCTTTAGAATGCTTCTCTAGCAGCATGAGATGCCTTTTCTTGGTTATGCTTGTAACACATGTTGGTTTGGGAAGTATTTGGCTAACATAATTTATCGCACATGTTTGATGGGTTTTGTAATATTCTTTACGCTTTCTTTCCCAATATGACCCGGTTAAAGGAGTATAGGTCTCTGAACCCCAATCATCAAATTTTTTTTCGGTTTTGTTAATATGTCCCATCCAACCTAGTGAACTTTATTCACTTTGTCCATTTGGCTCCACCAAAACCTCCCAATCATTGAACTGATATCAGCACAGAGGGGTTTAGTGAGGTCAAAGCATGCTATTGCATAAACGGTGATCACTTGTGCTACAACCTTGATAAGAACTTTGACGAGTAATTTTTTCTTTCCAACCTTGTATTTTCCTCCATATTTTCTCCTTGATATATTCAAACGCTTTGGATTTTGATTTACCAATGTAACATGGTAAGGCCAAATATTTTTCCAGAGAAACTTTCAATGACAATGTTCAGTTGATTCATCAGCTCCTCCTTGTCCTTTCTCTTCGTATTTTTGCTGAAAGGGATGGCTGATTTTTCTTTGTGAATAACTTGCCCTGAACATGCTGCATAAACTTTCCGAATTTGATTCAATTCCCGTGCACTGTTGGCATTTGCTTCCAGTAGGAGCAACGAGCAAAAAGAAGGTGGCTTATGCTTGCTGCCGTATTGCATATTTTAATTCCTTTCAGTTTTGTTACAACCACCCCCTTTACAACATACAAGACTACTCTCCTGATAAAACAACCAATAGTGTTTTGGAACCTGCGGCGACCCAAAGCCTCGCCTCCACCTTGATGTTGTTTAGCATGATTGGCGGTGGAGCACTTTTATGGCGAAAAACTGTAGCATTTTTCTCATTCCAAATTCTCCAAGTGACAAGCATCATAAGGGAGGCCATGACTTTTCTATTTGTGGAGCTTGTGCCAGCCCGTTTAATCCACCATTATCCATGGAGTAGTCCAAGTGCCGATAGGAGATATTGATGCTCTCGAGATCTACAAACAAAGATACGTTAATAAAACAAGAAGCTGCACCTGGGTGCAACCACTACTTTCCCTTAAATTAACTCTTGTTGCGGATGTCTGATTTGTGAGCCAGGACTGCTGAGTATACGCCCCCAATGCAGTGCTTTGCTGGCTGAAGGATCGGATGCATCAAATTACAACTCCATGGTGTCAAAATAGGAGCATGTGCAGCAAAACCAGGACAGGGATTTACGGATACAAGCCGGTGTCTGATAACAAAATTTTGTTCTTACATATAGCTCACTCATAGCAACAAACCGATGGTTCCGGGGATGGATCTTTCACTTCATGTAGCACGGCGTTGCATCCAGACTATGAAGTCCAGAACCCAGTGCATGGTCATGTAGCAAATGACTACCACAAACATGACGATGTTGTAGACCCCTCCCCTGGGGCTGACCCAGGTGCCGGTGATGTAGCTAGTCCCCAAGGTCATGAAGCAGAGGCCGACAAGGGCTACGAAGAAACGGTTCTTTAGGACTACGGTCTCCTTGTTGTACACGTTCTTGGCGAGCATGCCGATGATCATCAGGGACGTGAAGAAAGCGGTGGTGTTGCTGTAGTAGAAGACCAAGTACATGCGGGGGAACTTATCGCGCATGATCGAGGTGTCGGCGATGTGCCTGTTTGCCCTGTCGTCGGCGTCCCAGAAGCCGCCGGGCGGGGCGAGCCCTGCGGTGAAGGTGACGGTAGCGACCAGTGACGTGAGGAGCAGCAGCCAGGCCCGGAAATCCTGTTGGTTCTTCTTTTCGGAAATGGAGTAGGTGGGCACCAGATTCTGATGGAGGCCGTCCATGGCTACTGCCGCCAGCCGGCCGTCGCTGGAGGGGACGAACAACACCGGCATGCCGTTGGCTCCTTTTATTGCCTTGAGCAAATCATCAACCGACATGTGTGGGCGTTGATTGTCAACGGTGATGATCTCTTGTGGCTGAGGCTGCGAGGAATCTCCTGACGAGATCCCCACCCTGTTTGCTTTGTCTGCTTCAAACATATTCTCTGCGACAACAAACATCAATCAGCTTCATCATATTGCAATTAGGTTTGCAATTAAGTCTACAAAGTTCTAATTTATCCATTAGAACAATTTTATTTTGAAGGATCTTAATTGGTTGGACCAAACACAATTTGTGTGTTTTATATTGTTATAGAAAAGCTATAGTAAAGGCACATCACAATAAGAGCTAAATGATCGTGGTCTCAGTTTCCTACTAATATCATACTCGTACTACACCCGAGTTTACAAGAAACCAAAAAAATCAATATCAAACTTGATAAAAAAAATCAGAAATTTTGTGACATGGATTATGATAATTTTTTAGGTTGCTGCAAACTTTTCATCCACAAATAACATGCAATGAGCTCTCGACAGAAAAGACAAAATCGTGTACTAAAAAATGCAGCAAACATTGACATGTGATTTTGTTATTTTTGGTGAGAGCTCTTCGAATGTTATTTGTGGATGAAATTTGGCATGTCTCTAAAACATTTGTTCATGTTGGATATCACAAAAAATCAGAATTTTTGGATCACGTTTGATACATGTTTTGTCAGTTTTTCGAAAATTCGGGTGTACTACATCCGAGTGTAGCCACACCTTTCCGTAATATCACTATGGCAACTATTTCTCTGCAAAAAGAACCTCTACACAAGTTGGGTCTTTTGACTCCCGGGATCCATTTCTAAACGTAAAAGAATATATTTAGATGTTCTAAATTCATTTTTAAAGCCACCACATTTACATGCAGAATGTTCTCTGCAACATGTGGGCGTCATACAAAAAAAAATGCAGATCTATAGTAGAAATAGTTGTAGTTGGGGAAAACTGATACTTGTAGTTGGGGAAAACCGATACAAGTTCCTCCAGCGAGAAGCAGTGGCGGAGCTAGCATTTGAGAACAGGGTGGTCCGTCGCAAAGAAAAATTGATAAGCAATATGACATGTGATCACTATAACTAATTACCAATATCACATAGACATAGATCAATCTGGTCTTACAAACACACTAAAATTTTCAATTAAGTCTCTGTTTTGGACAAACAAGTCTACATAGTGCATATTACATGGACCATAGTACATACCTTGAGAAGTTCTTTGGTTTGTTCTTCGATCATATCCGGCGGATTCTTCTTCTCTATCTTCAAAGCATGTCTATTGAAAAGAGAAGCAATGCCCCATGTCCTCTTGATTCTTCAATATTATGCAATAATAATTTCTTTTCTACCTATCACAATGACACAATTTAACACAAAATGATGTGCAACATTGATCGGTTCATGTACTGGTAGAAACCCTAAATTAAAGAAGAAACCACAAATTAAAATTGGGGAATGAGGGTAGCGGGCGAGCTCTGAGTTGGATACGTCAAATCGGGCGACCACCAGCTCTATGCTGGAGGCCTGGAAAGGCTAGGATGCCGACTGGGCAGTGCCATGGCAGCCGTTCACTTGCAGCGGCCGAGAGCAGAGCCGCAACCTGCAAGGGCGCAGGGCAGCGGCCGGGAGCAGAGCCGCAACCCGCAAGGGCACAGGGCGGCAGCCGGCAGGGAGGTGGGATGCTATGGGCGCGACTGGATCCAAGCACCGGGACCGCAGGAGGGAGAGGCAGGACCACAGGAGGGAGGAGCGGCGAACGGAGGCGGCGACCGACGATGGCGAGGCAGGGGCAGGATGACAGGGCACGGCTGTGTGAGGGCGTCGGGGCGAGGCTCCGCGGCTGGTTCTGCTCGACGTGAGGGCCTGGTTGCGTTCAACAGATAAGTGTTATTGGGCCATTTTTTCCTCTGGCCCAGTTAGAGATCCATAGATATATAGGCTGATCCAAAATTCCAGGGTGGGTCGCGGCCCACCCTGGCCACCCTGTAGCTCCGCCCCTGGCGAGAAGTATTGTGGTACAGAGGAAGTATTATTTATCATAGATCATATATTTGTCTTTTTATGTAGCTCGGGAATAAACACACGCTCTCATAAAATCCTAACAAGCACATAATGAGCATCTACACACACACCAAAATAAATTCAGAATTTTTTATAATTCAAAAACATTTTTCAGTTTTTTCACTCTTCTTCTTCTAAAACAAGCTTCCATGGAGCCTGGCCAGGGCCGTATGCGTATTTCAATAACTACATCAACTATAGATTTTGAGTCTTCACAACTGCTTTTTTAAACTATAGGCTATGATTATTGTGAAAAGAAAAGGGTGCTTGCTAGCAGTGACGGGCCGAATCCTTACTCGTACAAATCTAGCCAGATCGTTAGCTGGATCACCTATTGGGAATTCGAAGCATGTGAGAGGACCTGGCAGGCTTCTACGGAGTATTGATTTAGTCAATCACTTTCTGGCTGCTTACGAGCAAAGATATGCAACTTGTGTAATTTCATCACAATCAACCTATTTATAAGTTAGTATCCATTCCGCAAATGAAGATAGAATCATGTAGAGAGAGAGAGAGAGAGAGAGAGAGAGAGAGAGAGAGAGAGACTGCGTACCTCGTGGAGTGTGAAGTTGGTAGAGAAAAGATGAGAACGGAACTCAAAGGGGCTACCTAACTAGCTAGCAGCTCAACATGAGTGCCATAAATGTAGAAGGCAATGAACGACCCAAATACGCTATCTTGCTATAGTTTACTCCATCCATTAGCGTACGGTCTCAAACAATTTGATAAGTTAACCCAAAGTTGTTTATCCGTGCATGAGGTGGCTCCAGACAGCATTAACAAGCCAATTAAATGGGTGTGTGTGGCGAAGGTGATGGTGGATATCAAGACCCCTAAAAAATGTGTATTTATTTACCTACACGCGTTTGGCTTCCACATAAGAAGGCTGCTCAATGTGACAAGTAAGTTGTGGCTACAAATTATACAAGCATAGCTGGACAAAAATGGCCTGGTATGTTTACTAAGAAAATAAATCGGACCATCCTTTTCCAAATGACACAACAATACAGTGAAGATATCCAGATGACATCCTGAATCTATCTTTTTTCTATGATTTATCTGTAGCTAATCATGCTAGCAGCCAGCATACATGCATGCACGCATTTTGACTAACTCATATGCGACCACCAATGCATAGGTTCAGCTCACAGAAATAATTTGACATTTCCATGACACAAGGAATCAAATTACAACTTCATATGTATCAAAATAGGAATTACAAGGAAATGAGTAGCAAAATGTAAAAATGTAAAAGTGCATACCATTAATTGCCTCTTGGGCATATCAATACAACACAGACGTCAATCATTGTTTGCTAGACACGATTAAGTTTGCAGGCAGCAGTCATGCAGGCAGGGACGGAGCCAGAAAATTGAGATGGGGGGGGGGCAAGAACCAAAAGCTTCAAAATCATAGGATATATTTGCCGTAAAAGAATCATAGGATATATTAAAATATACCATAGTAATTAGTAAATAATAGGACTTAGGACATCTAGATAGTAAAAATATGTCTGTTGTTCAATAGTATGAATAAATTACATTTCTATCAATTTGAATTCTTCTTTACGAGCACCAGTATCGAAGATATCAATTATTTCTTCAGAGCTAAACTTGGCTGCAAGTTCCTTCTCAATGTAAACTAGCGTGCAATGACAAAGAAAATCATCTCCCATTTTGCTTCGAAGCCGCGTCTTGACTAGTTTCATTGCAGAAAAGGCTCGCTCTGCTGTTGCAGTTGAAACCGGAAGAGTTATCACCAATCGTAACAGCCTCTCAACCATTGGATAGTCAGAAGACTTGCCAGTCTTAACTATCCCTTTTGTTAGATCAACAAGTGATTTGCAGTTCTTGATCTCTGGATGGTTGAATGTATCAAGCTGGAAATGTGGTAGCTCGCACTCCAACCGATCTCTTTCTTGACTAGAAAAAATCTGCAGGATAGAATTTCTCCACTAGTCTGCATATCTTTGACTTGCTGAAGGCATCATGCCTCGGGTCCAATGATGAACAAAGATCTAGAAGCTCAGTAACATGAGAACTAAATCGATCATTCAACTCTATCACTTGTTGATCTATTGCAACATTAAACACATCTACTTTGTAGTGATGGGTAACTGTGGTGTTGTCATGTTTATTTCGAGATTTCGTCACATCAACATACCTAAAATTAATATATATTGAAAAATAAGAATTAGTTGCATGATCTACACATTGATGAGAAGTATGTAAGTGGCTAAATCTCTACATTGTAATTTATATAATCATAAAGAGATAGGAAAAGATACGTACTTTTGATCCATGTCCGGGATGTCAATCTCATGTTTCACACAAAAGGATTTCACATCTTCAAAAAGGTTGTCCCATCCATCTTCTCTTAGTTCACCAAGCAACACCTTTGTGTTAGAAACACAATCTAATGCATTTGCAATGTCCAAAGATTTATGTTGAAGTTTGAGACACAAGACATCTGTGATTTTCATGATTCTTTCCATTAAGTGTAGAATGAACACAAAATCAAATGTCAGTAGGATTTTCAAGGCACCTCCGGCATCACCTCTTGAGTTCCTTGTAGCTGAACGATCAGCTGCTACACTTCTTAGCACTGTAACAGTTGCGGCAAACATCTTTAACAAACTTTTGATAGATTTGTAGTGGGAACTCCATCTCGTGTCTCCGGCCCTTTGTAAAGAACCTATTTGATTGGCCCCTCTTCCTGTGTCAAGCTCTCCCAATTCAATCTCACTAGCAATTTCAGCAGCCTGATTTTCTAACAGTTCATCATTCCGTTTGGGAGATGCACTAACTGTATTTACAATGAAATTTGCATGCTGAAAAAAATTATGGACCTCATGTACCTCCCTTGAAGCAGCAACAAGAGCCAATTGGAGTTGATGTGCAAGACAATGGATATAGTATGCATAAGGGCACTCTTTGAGAATTAGAGCTTTCAGCCCATTACACTCCCCCCTCATGTTGCTTGCCCCGTCATATCCCTGGCCTCTAATATCTTGCACATTCAACCCATTATCAACTAGGACGGCAATAATTGTGTTCTTGAGAGTCAAAGCACTAGTGTCTCTAACATGAACAAGATCAAGAAAATGTTCTCTTATCACCCCTTCTATGTTTGCAAATCGAAGAACTACTGCCATCTGCTCTTTTTTAGACTCGTCTCTACATTCATCAACCAAGATAGAGAATTTGCTATTACCAAGTTCTTCTTTAATTGAGGTTTTCACTTTTCCAGCAAATATGCTAGCAATTTCCTTTTGAATAGTTGCTGAGGTGTACTTTGCATTTCTTGGAGCATTCTGTACAACTTCATGTACATCCTTGTTATAAGACGCCAAAAGCTTAATCATTTCCTTGAAATTACCTTGGTTCTTGGAATCCTCAGACTCATCATTTCCTCTGATGGGACATGCTTGAAACATTAGCCACCTGATGCAATCAACATAGAATAATTATTAGATGTCCAGTATAAAGAAATTCTAAATGTTCAAAATTAAATACTTCTTACTTACCTCATGGCATCAATGGAAGTCTTTAGCCTTAGTCTTGCATCAAGAACCCGCTTCTTAGTTTGCTTTTTCATCACCTCATCAACATGATTAAGTCTGTTTCTCAAGTTTTCATAACACCGAACTGCAAAATTGTGAGCCGAGCTGGGAGTAGTGCCCATATGCTTGAGGAAAGCACATTCTTTTCCATTGTTAACTTTCTTCCACTTATCAAATCCGCTCACTGTGAATGTATTTGAACCACACTTCCCAATTGGCTTCTTTGAGAAGAGAAAACAAGGCAAACAATAGGCACAATTTTTTAAAGGTGAATACTCCAACCACCAATGATTCGTGAACCAATCACTTTGGAATCGCCTACGGCCAGCCCCTGTCCCAGTAAATTCATACTCATCTGGCTTTAAGATTGGTTGATAAGCCCCTTTAGATATATAAAAACGCCTAGCAGCATCATGCTCATCGGGAGGAAGTTGCCAAATTTGAAGACGTCGCCCGGGCTCTCGGTCATAACTTGTGGTTATAATTGTATCTTCTTCCGTAGCTTCTGGCACGGAAACATCATGATCAATTTGGGCATCACCATCAGTACAATTTGGGTGATTCTGTTCGCTAGGTTGAACGTTGTCGTTGTCTGCAGTAGCATCATGTTCTGATGGCCGAGAGCTTGAACCAACGGGTTTGAAAAAGTTCTGAATTGATTCTCTCTTTCTCTTCATGTCTACACAAGCACAAACAATTGAAAATTTTATATTGATGATTAAGGGCTGCAGTTTGGATGATTATACTTCTACAATTGTTAAAGGCATGAACTACTAATCCATGTGAAAATAAATTACCTTTTCCCCTTGTGCTGCTGCCGCTTATCCTGCCCGGGCCCGGCTGCCTGTCGTCCGCCGTCGTTCTGTCCAGGACTCCGGCCTCCAGGCTGCCGGCAACGTGTCCGTGGATCGGCGCCTGTCCGAGCGTTGCGGCGTCCCCTTCCTATCCTGGCTTCTCGACGGGCGTTGGCGGCGCGCCGGCGACCTGGCGTCCCTGAGCGCTGGAGGCAGTCCCCAGAGATCCAATCGCTAATTTTTTGGAGACGAAGAGTCGAACGAACTGACAACGTGCGCAGCGTGCTAGCGTTGTCTTGGGGGCCTGTCAATCGTAGTGTGTCGTGGTGTGCAGGGCCTGCTCGGCTTAGTTTTTTTGCTTTTAGCCTGTAAATGTTCAATGGGCTGCACTGGTTACATGGGCTATACGCCTATACAAAAAGGCCGATGGGGAATAGGGGGGGGCGAAGCAGGCTGCAGGCAAGCACACAGGTAAAAAAAGTAGCGCTAATCTCTTCCGTTTCAAGGGACTGCGCGATCGTTGGGGGGGGTCTCGCCCCCCCTCGTCCCCCCCTTAATCCGTCCCTGCATGCAGGTTGGTGTGAGGATATCTCCTTTCTTACCAGTATAGGTATCACAAACTCGAGCTATAACCCAAATTATCGACATGTAGCAAATCACAGCTACAAACACAGAAATGGTGTAAATCCCTAGAGTGAGGTCAACCCATGTGCCGGTGATGTAGCTACCGCACAAGCTCAAAAAAGAAATCGCTACGAATGTTAAGAAAAAACGATTCTTGATTTTGATATTTTTGGCAAGCAATCCAATGACCGCCAATGATGCGAAGAAGGCAATCGTGTTGCTGCAGTGAAATAGCAGGTACCTTGTGGGAAATTTGTCGCGCATAACTGAGGTACCAGCGATGTATGTGTTTGCCATGTCGTCTTCAGACCAAAAACCACCGGGTGGGCTGAGGCCCGCGGCGAAGGTGATGGTGGCTGCCAGTGATGAGAGAAGCAATAACCAGTTATGAAAATCCTTCTGCTCCTTTTGGGTGGACATACTGCGACTGTGATTGGCTTCATCGTCTTCACCAGCTCATCAATTGACTTCTGCAGACTATGACTGTCAGCAGTGATGATCTCTTGCAACTGTTGTTGCGATGGATCTTCAACTCCATTGTGTCCTAACACTATCTCCAGTTCGTTTGCTCTGTCCGCTTCTTTGAAAGACATGTTGTCGCGATAAACATCAACCTTTTATAATTTTTTTGCGAGGAATACACAAACATTAGATGTATTTAAAACTCTGGTTTTCTCCTGTAAAAGCATGTTAAGGATTATGGTGACCCTTCCTATTAGCCTAATTAGCGGATGACTGAGAAGTGTATATCTCATCTTTGGCATATTATACACCGACGGATAACAGCAAGAATGTTTATAGCCCTCTATATATGGCTATAAACCACAATTCATTTCAGAAACGAGGATAGTGCATGGGTACGTATAACATGCATACTTCTTACCCCACAAAAAATAAAAATGCATACCTCTTGCTTTGGAGATCACCGGGTGCTCTTAAGCGAAGGGAGCTTCCAAGGAGTATGCCGGGTAGATCTGCCAGCGCTAGCTACAAGAACTGGAGAACATATTGCTCCAAGGGTAGCTAGTGCCACATATATAGGACTGGATAAGGCAGTGAACACCATATAGTATACTCTACAGCCCATTGCGCCTACCCAGCTAGTACTTAAACAACGCAAAGTTAGTTCTGAATAGTGCATTACAAAAACTAATTAGTACTAACATGTGAGCTCCAACAACTCAAGCATCTAAACTAAAGGGAAGAGTCATAAACTAGTCGCATACTAATATAGTTACACAACTACTCCGTGCTAATTATCAAACGTGCTACACCATACCGCTAATTAAAAACTCTGGAAGCTTCCACGTTAACAGGCCGGCCAGGTGTTAGCACCCCGGTAGCACTTCCTCTCTCTTTTTTCTACCAAAAGGGCACCATGTAGCTTTCCTTATACGGGTATTACATTAGAAATTTACAATAAAGTACTAAAGTTGTAAAGTTAGGATCGCTCACTTTCACACTACTTGGCCATCCTTTCTCATTTCCTATTGGTTCAAATCTGAAGGGGTGCTTTCTAATTTTCTACTGCTATGTCTACAGATCTAGATAATACATTTAATCAAGATCAGTAAAACACACACACACCACATGAACAATAGTTTTTCATAAAATTGCATGAAATGATTGATAGTGATGTTTTACGGCAAGACTGCATCCAATTATGTGTCGACCACCATGAATCTTTTTGTAGCAACATGAAGATTCCATGGTAACAGAAATTAAATTCATGCACTGAGGAAGTAAACGGATGTGCGTGGCATCTAAACTAGTTGTACGAGAGCTTAAAGACTTGACCATTAAGTTATCAACATATCTATCTACTATGTAACAGTGATTGAAAAAAAATGTAACAATGATTGAAAACTCTACGCAAGAAGACTTCTACGGTACCCTCTAGTGGATCCAAAGACACATGTCAATCCATACTGGTGGTTACTAGATCCCGTTTCTAGTGTCGGGTGACTATCATGGTTTTCAAAGCTTGGTATGGCAATTGCATTGGCATGTGTCCCTTTCCCTTACTGATGCACTAGCTAATGTATTCCTCATGTCTTTTATCAAAAAGAAACTAATCCATACTAGTGACTTGTAAAAGAGAGTAGTAATGTTTTCTACGACATATTCGGAAGAGAGCTTGCAAGAAAAACCTAAAGGGGAGCGACCTCACAAAGGTATGGGCTTTGAGAAGGTGTGTGTTCGCAGTTATCACCTGTCAAAAGTTACTAATAAAACTCCCTGACCATGCTCCACTTGGCACGACTGAATTCTTGGCTAGCGAGAGGATAAATCATGTTGCCTTCTACTCCTTGAGGTTCAGCTCCACCCCCCTCCCTCTAGTGAGGAGTGGAGGAGATAGGAATACCTACATATTTGGTTTAATGCCTTTTGATTCAAAGTATTTGTTTTGAGGAATTTTGGAGGATCTTGTTCATTTGGAATTTTTCGTAACCAACTTGTGTGGTTTTGTGGTACATCGTGTGTAGGCTGCTGAGGCTCCTGCTTGAGCACCGTATAGTTTTGATTGACACCAAAACTAATGATCACGAGAAACTCTTCGATGTGGTGCCATAGACACACCTGTTGTATCTGCCGGCGTCGTAGACATAGGTGATGTTGGAGGTACCCCGTTGGTAAACATGTATACTGGTAAGAAAAGAGATTTTCTCACACAATAAGGGATGCTACCCCACCCATGGATACCAAAAGCCCCCAAAAAGATGCGCTTATTTACCTATACACGTTGGGCTTCCACATAATAAGGCTACTCAACGTGACTCAATGAAAGTAAGTTGTAGCTGCAAATTACCCATGCAGCTGACTGAAATAGCCTGGTATGTTTACTAAGAAAATAACTAAGACCATATTTTTCTAAATGGTACAACAATAAGGTGAAGAAATCTAGATGAATTTTTGAATCTATCTATTTTTTCTATGATTTATCTATAGCTAATCATGCTAGCAGCCAGCATACATGCATGCCTCTTGACTAACTCATATGCGACCACTAATGCATAGGTTCAGCTCACAAAAATAATTTTTCTTGCGGGAGCTCACAAAAATAATTTGACATTTCCATGACATAAGGGATCAAATTACAACTTCATATGTGTCAAAATAGAAGTTAGAAGGAACACTAGTAGAAAACAGGGCTTTGGTCCAGGCCGGGTCAGCCCATTAGTCCCGGTTCAGTCTAGAACCGGGACCAATGTGCATTGGTCCCGGTTCGTGAGCCCAGGGGGCCGGCCGGGCCACGTGGGCCATTGGTCCCGGTTCGTCTGGACCTTTTGGTCCCGGTTGGTGGGACGAACCGGGACCAATGGGCCTCGCTCCTGGCCCACCACCATTGGTCCCGGTTGGTGGCTTGAACTGGGACCAAAGGCTCCCCTTTAGTCCCGGTTCATGCCACCAACCGGGACCAATGAGGTGCCTATATATACCCCCCCCCCCGCGCAGGAGCAGAGCACAGTGCTCTGTTTTTTCTGGCCGAGGGGGAGAGGGCTTTGTGGTGCTCTAGCTCACCTCCTATGCACATGAGGTGTTCGATGGAATGCCCGAGCCACACTACTTAAGCTTTCTCCTCTCGAAGCTCGACCTCCAAGCTCCATTTTCCTTGAGATTTGTCTAGATTTAGCGGTCCGTCACGCCCTGTCCCCGTCTTCACCGCCGTCGATCACCCGCGCCGATCTCATCACCGACACCACCGTGGTGAGCCTCTTGTTCTTATCTTCTTTCTGAAAGGAAAAAATATTCTTACTTGTATGTTTAGATAGATACTTGTATCATTTTCTTACATTTATTATTGCATCTTATATAGTGCGATGGTTTTGGTATCCGCCCCCGTCGGCCCTCGTCCTATCTATGATTCGGATGTGGTATGTATATTATCTTTATAACTATTGGTTCATTTATTGTTTATGAAAATTATGCCAACCAACGTGACATAGATTTTATTTATCTAGGATGAATGTGAATCGGAAATGCCAACCGACCCTATTGTCGAGAGGTTAAATTTAGTTGAAGAAGAAAACAATTTATTGGAGGAAAAAATAAAAAAAATTGAGGAGGAGAAGATGATATTGGAGTTGCATGTTGCGGATGTCGTCGATGATCACAAGATCAAGATGGATGCAATGCGCTTGAAGATTAGAAAGATTAGAAAATATGCCATTCATACCGAGGCTTGGTATCATTATGCCATTGGATCAATTGTTACCTTGGTTGCGATTATGATCGCATTGAAATGTTTTACATAGTTTCAATGTATGGTTTAATTAATTAGATGCTCTGGAGAGCTATATGTTGTTAGATGAGAACTATGTATGCACTTTGGTTTTAATGTGATGATGAACTTCTATTAATTTGGACACTTAATTATATATAATGCACGCAGATGAACCGATAATGGATGTACGGTGACAGACACACCCGCGAGTACATTAAGGGCGTGCATGAGTTTCTCGATGCGGCTGAGGCAAACAAGCAGAATGGTTTTATGTGTTGTCCATGCACTGAATGTGGGAATACGAGGTCTTACTCTAACCGGAAAATCCTTCACTCCCACCTGCTTTACAAGGGTTTCATGCCACACTATAATGTTTGGACGAGGCACAGAGAAATAGGGGTTATGATGGAAGACGGCGAAGAAGAAGAGTACGATGACAACTATGTGCCCTCTGAATACGGTGATGCTGCAACGGGGGGAGCTGGTGAAGATCAAGAGGAACCAGACGATGTGCCCAATGATGCTGCAACGGGTGAAGCTGCTGAAGATCAAGAGGAACCAGACGATGTGCCCGATGATGATGATCTCCGCCGGGTCATTGTCGATGCAAGGACGCAATGCATTAGTCAAAAGGAGAAGCTGAAGTTCGATCGCATGTTAGAGGATCACAAAAAAGGGTTATACCCCAATTGCGAAGATGGCAACACAAAGCTCGGTACCGTACTGGAATTGCTGCAGTGGAAGGCAGAGAATGCTGTGGCTGACAAAGGATTTGAGAAGCTACTGAAAATATTGAAGAAGAAGCTTCCAAAGGATAACGAATTGCCCGACAGTACATACGCAGCAAAGAAGGTCGTATGCCCTCTAGGATTGGAGGTGGAGAAGATACATGCATGCCCTAATGACTGCATCCTCTACCGCGGTGCATACAAGGATCTGAACGCATGCCCGGTATGCGGTGCATTGCGGTATAAGATCAGACGAGATGACCCTGGTGATGTTGACGGTGAGCCCCTCAGGAAGAGGGTTCCTGCGAAGGTGATGTGGTATGCTCCCATAATACCACAGTTGAAATGTCTGTTCAAAAACGAAGAGCATGCCAAGTTGATGCAATGGCACAGTGAGAACCGAAAGAAAGATGGGAAGTTGAGAGCACCCGCTGACGGGTCGCAGTGGAGAAAAATCGAGAGAAAGT